CTCATCGGAGAAAAAACGGGTCCCAACACATTCCGGCTAGCAACCATGGAGGGAATCCCGGTCTCCAAGACGTGGAACGGCATGCACTTACGAAAGTACCATTCCGACGTTATCTAAAGCACGACGTCATTTCCTAGCGAAGAAGTGTATGGGTTGCTACCAAGCACCCATTTTTGGATCTTTTGGTAGAAAGGGCAGTGACCCTCTACTTGTAATAGTGTATGGGCCGCTTTTACGCGCCCACTTTGCTCATGAAATACACTAATATCCATTTCGGCCAACTTTCCTCGCCTCAATACTGGTGTCAGTATCACAAAAACCACACACGCGTTGCGCGGGGCAAAATAGCGCAACCAAAGCCTCATACATCCCTTCGCGGGGAAGCAACATATGCTTGACAAGAGAGGCATCACTGCCATACTACCGCCTCATTAACATCTAAAAACCGCTAAACGGTTGCACACAAGGAAGAATGAACATAATGTCTTCATAAAAAGCGTTGCAAGCACCATAAGAACGTTGCAAGCACCATCCCACGTACTTCGAAAGCATGAACACAAATCCGCTCTAACGCGGTCACGATGAGAACGTTAACATAAATTCCCTTGATGAAACAAAGGAAAAACCAACCGCACCAATAGGCGGTCACCAACACTTGTCCACACCTCAATCACAAAAGATCGATTGTCTGAGAGCACTCATCCTCTCCAAAATAAAAAACAACTTGATCGCAGGTGTTGATGAGAAAAAATCTTCAAATGTTCGGAGAGCGACCACTTCCCGCCTCCCCATCATCTTCTTCATCTCCTGCATCATCCTCCGCGGAATCGTCTGCTTCTGAGTTCACGTCGGCTTCAGACCAATGCCCGATCGCATCCCAAACGCAGTCTGTGTCCCAGGCCACATCGGGACATTCTTCGCGAATCAGATGGCAAATAGCGGCCACAACATCGCCCACGACCCGCTTGTATTTGGCCTTGTCATAGGCCAAGAACTCAGCAGATTGCAAATAAGCAGGGCCAGCCGCAGCCACTTCCGCCTCGCGGTCTTTCAGCAGAGACGCCTTCTCCAGCTTGAGCGCGTCCATCGCCTTCCGCAACACATCTTGCTCCTCGAGCAAAGCCTTCTCAATAGCACTCGATTTTTGCAACTTTTCCTCAAGGCGATCTTTCTCCTCCCGCACGGCCTTGGACGCTTCCTTCTCCTTCGCCAATTCCTGGTCCTTGCGCGCCAGCTGGTCGGCGAAGTCCTTCTCAAACTGAGGCCACAACTCCTCCATCATTGCGGCCCGACCCTCACCCAGGCTCTTCTTCAGATTTGCAATTTCGATCGCATCATCTTCCACGGTCTTCGACAAGCGGTCGTTCATCAGGATGAGTTGGGAAAACCCGATCTGCGCCTGCAAGCAATGAGTAGGATAATCAACTTCGTTACTCGCTAAGGCAGTAAAACAAGCCACAACTACTTACCCCGAAAAGGAACTGTGATGCGGTCCCGGCCAGGCGGCGGTTACTCTCTGAAGAAGTCGCCGTATACTCGTTTGGCATCTCAAGTTGCTCACAGACCGTATGGAGGGCCAACTCGGCGGCTTCAGTATCAACCGCAGCCAGGGCAGGAATTGCCACGGAACTGGATGCGGTCGACCGCTTTGGGACCGAACCGGGCTTCTCACCCGCCTTGGCATGAGAGGAGCCAACTTTAAAACGCTTCCCAGCCGCCTCACGAGGGCCGCGCTCCATTACCCTTTTTCCCGCGCCCTTACTCGCGGCAACGGGGGAAGCTCCCACCTCGCCAGACGGTTTACTGGGGGATGGTGCTTGGGTGGCGGCCGACAGGTCAATCACCTTAGCCGCGTCCGACGGAGCCGCACCTCCTGTTGGGGCGGTCCTCCCAGCTTTCTTCTTCCTCGGACGGTTGGCGTCCGCCAACTCCTTCAATCCTGGAGAAAGAAAGCATAAGTAAAGCACATGAGAAAAGATAAGCATACAAATACACAAAAACACTACTGACCATAAAAACCGCGGACGAGCTGGTATGCACTGTTAGAACCACTATGCTGCACTCGAAACTGGAAGGCCTCCACTATCCTCGCCACATGATCCCGTACCGATTGAGGGAAAGGACCCGGCCCAGACCAGTCACTCTTGATACCGACCGCATAACCAGTGGGTGGTTGCAAGTCACCCGCATACCATTTCCATGAAGGGCGGGCGAAAAAGTACTCCTTGTACCACGGGGAGTCCAACTTGGGCGCCCCAGAGACGAAGCCCACCGAGTTTTCCCGCCTACCGATCGACCAACAATTGGACGAGTCCCTAATGTTGTAAATCATCCTAAAGACATCAAAAGAAGGATCTTCTTTGAGGCGTTCACACGCCAAGCGGTACATGATGGAATGAAAGACGATCGTGGGCGAAAGGCGACCCAAGGAACACTGAAGCCGGAGCAGAATCCGCGTCAGAAGATCGTCAAGAGGAAACCGCAGCCCGAGCTTAACGTGTTCAACCAAGATGGGGATCCACCCGTTAGGACAGGACCCGATGCGGCTCCTCGCCGAAGGAACCGCATAAACCCAATCCGAAGGCATCCACAACGACTTCAGCCGGTATAAGACCTGCTTAGGCTTAAAGGCCGCTACGTGAGGGGGACCTTGTTCGAAAACTTCTTCAGGGACGGGTTCCCCATCCCACATACCCGCATGACGGAGAACGGTGTATACGGGATCTTTGATCGCAATCGGAGGCGGTCTTGTTTCCCCATTCTCCGAAATTTCCAAGGAGGACGAAGCGTTCGAATGCGTCCCAGACCGCACTCCATCACTATCCCCCTCCTCTGAATCTTCAAGGGAGATGCTATCTAAATCTACCTGATCGAATTCCCTCAGGTTATCCCCAACCGCGGACGAGGTAGCCGCAACCCCAACTGGTACAGGATGGAGGTTAGCATTCAAATTATCTAAGTCTATGCAAGCCCCGACAAGACAATCTCTCAACTCGGATCCATCTCCCACATACAACTCTAATCCTGACAAATCCCACACGCACTCAGACATGCTTCGAACGGGAGAAGAATGAGTCATACCTTGAATACCAGGAGCGGTCTCCGCGACCTTCTTCCCGGCGCCTCGAGAGGTTAAAGTCGCGGCCGAAGACGTAGGCCCTTTCCTGGCGACCACCACGGGGTCGAGACCAGCAACCGGAACGCTCTCTGTCGCCGGGGCATCCTGCCTCGCCTCGCCGGTCGGAGAAGAAGGATTCTCGCCCGACATCTGTCGACGGCGAGCGAGGCCACAATCGATGACACCAAAAAACCCCAACAGCCGCGGAATCACCCACAAACACAGCGAACCAGTTAGCAAGACAACAAGGTCGCAACCCAAGGAAAGGAAAAACAAGTCGGAGACTCACCGAGAATGACGAATATATAGGCGCCGGAGTCAACCACCTCTGAAACTTCCTCTGAAAAGAGAAGGGGGAAGAAGACGAGGGGTTTTTTTCACGAATCGGGGGAGGATGACGAGGGGATTTTCCTCAAAATCCTACTTAAATGCGAAAAAGGAAAGAGGGGCGTCCTGACAGGACGTTTTTCACGAAGCCCGAGAATGGAACACCCCCAGAGGTGACGTTCCGTCTGCCGGTGTCAGGTCTCCGCGCCCGAGGAGTGACACGTAGCAAGAGCTGGATTACGAAAGGGAACCGAGGCGGTTCCTACCCCTTAGGCGCTCTCGCGCCATGCTTCTGCGACCAGGGGCAACAGGATAGTCATGCGCTAAGCGTCTCATAACCGCATATAAGGTACTATGGACCAGGCGGCCCAAAGACACTCAATATTGGCAAGAAAAATCATTTAGCCGCAAAAAACCTATCGCTTCTTACGCCTAAGGGGCAAATGTTGGGCCAAATATTGAGGCCCCTGGGCCTTAGGCCCATGGTCACCTAAAAGCCCATGGAAAACGATTCTGGCCCGCTGACAGATCTAGGGCGGTTCTCTCCTGGCGTAATAACGAAACCGCCCAACAAAGAGGTAAAAACCGCCCGACATAAGGGCAAACGGATATCTGTCCTTCCCCGTACGGAGTCTGACAAGGTACGTACCTGCGATAAAGTCGGAGGCGTCTCAGGACGCCCGACAAGTCATTAAATGCTCATAAACCGACCACAGCTAGTATAAATACCCACGGATGAGCTACATTGATGGTAACTTCTACCTACTCCACTCTCTCTCTTATTTACTCTCACTTCACTTCTCTCTCTAACTTAAGCTTCGGAGGAGGTCCCAGGCACCCCCTGTGGACCTTTTTTGCAGAGCTTCGGAGGCCGCCTACTACCGTCTCGGACCGCCTAAGGCCGGTGAAGCCTCACAAACCGCTTGGAGCAATCCTAGCACAAACAAATTGATTTGATACAATCCAATTATATATTGAGTTGAGCCAATTATATATATAATTTTTTGTATGTGTCGAAATTTGGTTGCCGTTGAGTCAATTATATAAGATAGGGTTAACTCAAATGTGCACCCAATATTATTGGGACAATTATTTCCCATTAAGTTTGCATGAATGACATTTAATCGTCTGATTCTTTCGACCATCAGTTGCTTCAAATCAAATATCTTATATTCCTATTAATCCAAGGATCACGCGATAATTATTTGATAAATCAAAAAATTATAAAAAACGCACTCGAACTCATCAATCATTGACTAATATCACCTCGCATCAAATTAGTTTTATATATGATTTTATTTTTATTTTGATAGAAAGATCGACGTCCGAATGTCTAATTCGTATTAATAATAAAACGATCATGGGGCTGGGGCACGTATAAATGCCGAGCTACCCGCCGTCCCATCGCCATTGCTATTATCCCCAAGGATTTTTTTTTTCTTTCAATTTTTTGCGACTCCGATCCTGTAACACCCTAGACCGGCCGGTGACTAATTTTACCAAAATACCCTTGTTATTAGTCGAATAATAAATGCATAAAAGTCCCATAAACATTATTCCAAAATACAAGGAAAAATCCATCTTAAAATAGTATTCAAACATAATCCTCATTAAGTCTCAAGTCCACCAACAATGCATAAACTTAAACAAGTTCCGCTGGAAGCTCTTCGGGCCACTAACCCTTGTGATGACATCTGGGGCAGCAGCTATGTTCCTGCGATTGATCTGGGTGCTCCTGGTTTCCTGCAGCTCCTGAGTGCGGGCGTTGGGGTCAGTCCTAATCCTAGTTTCGCTTTAATGTTGAAGACTCTTAATAGCAACACTGGAATAAATAAATATACTCATGCAATGCTTCATGCTTAAATTTAGTATTCTTATTACTTGTTGTGAAAGGGGGCCCCGAACTATACTCAACTAGCACACTAACGGCCACCAAACGTAAACTTCCACCTGATGGGAAGATATAACATGGGTGTAACTTCCACCTGACGGGAAGTAACACAATTATAACATGAATGTTAACTTCCACCTGGCGGGAAGTAACATAATCCTGAACTTGACTTCCACCTGACGGGAAGTAGGGTAGCCGCGTGCACTAGTCAAGTGAGTAGTTAAAAACATGTTCTTACTTGATAACTTGGTAACATGGAACGTAAGTCCATAATCTTGCTCAAAACATAACTTCATGATGGAATGCAATGACATGCTTACTAACATAAATACACTTACCGTGGACATACATATAGAGCGTAACTTAATTAAATAACATAATTAGATAAATTAAAGCGAAATACTAACTAGCCCCTCAAACCACGCACCTTATTAATTCAAGAAGTTATAACGTGAAGGTTGGGGCCCTTGACTTAGTTGATTCCTCTTGACCCTATGGTGAAATTCAAAGTTAGATTGGTTGAGTTTTGGGTTCTTAGCGACGGCTTTCTCAACTTGGGAATACTTTGCAAGATGTGCAAAGTATGGTATACTAATGTACCAATTAATCTAACATATTAGAATCATTATTCTTTACATATAATAATTAAGGTCTTAATCAATCTTAATCATTGAAAACTAATTGTGCTACAGTAAACCTACGCAGGTTAACCTTAGATTATACTAATCAATTTATCAAACTAGATAACACATTATTTACCCATTAACTAATCCTATTAATTCATTCATCACGTGCTAGCAACATTACTCATATTATCATAACTCCCTTATACAATTCATTATCATCTTAAACCGTTCTAATTTAACTCGTCATAATATCTAACCTATCAAAGCTTATATTTTGCTAACTGATAACTTAAATCATCTTAACCTATTAATTTCCTAAGAGAATCATTTAACAACAACGTTAATCATATTATGGGATCAAACATATAATTAATCAAACTAACTCATTTTATTAGTTACTAAAATACTTTAACATCCTCATACGTCCATTAGTAAGATACCTAGTAAATCATTTACAATTAAATCCAATTGAATTAAAATGTAAATTACTCTACAGCTCATTTAGCTACCGCCGCCAAAACAGTCACTAAAAACTATGAATCTCGTCCCTAAAAGGGATGTCACTGACACTGGTTGGCCAGACTATAGCCACGGCGGCTGTTTTGTTGCTAAAAGCCTGTAATTCCGTCGCTAATTTCCCAGATTTCTACAAAGACGCATAACTCGCATAAATGGTGCCTTTAGCGAGAGGGATTGAGCTTCCTTACCTTCAATACGAGTCTAGGCCTAGGTAGGAAGCCTTAGGACCTCAGTTCCTTGTTTGGATCGTCGATTGATCACCCCGCTCTTTCGCCGCCGAAGCTACGCCGTAGAAGACCTTTTGTTTGTTAGTTATGTAGCCTTGAAACTTGAATGACGAGGGGATTCGTTTTGCTTACCTACTGGTCCAGAGAGAATGGAAGGTATCAAGTCAGTAGCTACGACTTGCTTCCTTTTCCTTCGGTGATGACGATTATGGCGATGATGAAAGGTGAATGGACCAAAGGAGGGAGTGAGTAGATGATGATGGGATGAACTTCTGGTCTTGAGAGTTAGCAGTACTGATGGGAGGTATTGAGATTGGGAGGAATGGCTTTGATGGTGCAATTTCCGGGCGATCGGGGGAAGAAGGATCGTTAATTTATTGAACTGAAGAGAAGGATTTGTGATAGGGAGGGTGCACCGACACCATTGCCAGCTCCTCATGTCCCTCCAATTTAATTTCCAACTCCCCATGTCAGAGGCATGAATGGGGTTATTACATTTCCTCCCCGTTATAAAAATTTCGTCCCCGAAATTGAGAAACTGGGTGCATAAGAAGTTCATGATTCTTCACTTTTATTACCGATCATATCTTATTACCGCCAACAAATCATAATCAAATTATACCGATTACAAAGGTATGTCAAGAAACAACTCAGGATAGTTCTTCCTCATGTCCTCCTCGATCTCCCAAGTGGCTGCTTCTGTGCCTTGGTTCCTCCACACCACCTTCACCATTGGAACCTTCTTCCTTCGTAGCTCCTTATCTTGGCGGTTGATGATCCCGACTGGTATCTCATTATAGGTCATGTCACTATCCAGTTGAATATCTTCTAACTCCACGATGTGGGTTGGGTCGGATCGGTACCCTTTGAGCATGTTGACATGGAATACATTGTGGATCTTGGACAGATTTGGAGGTAATGCGAGCCTATACGCCAGAGGGCCTACTCGCTCCAATACTTCATATGGTCCAATGTATCTTGGACTCAACTTGCCCTTCTTTCCAAATCTCATAACCCCTTTCCATGGAGAAACCTTCAAGAATACCTTATCTCCCACTTCATGAGTCCTCTCTTCTCCTGGCTTGTCTGCATAGCTCTTTTGACGATCCTGAGCAGCTTTAATGTTTTCTCGTATTTGCTTAATTTTGTCGACTGTGTCTTGTACTAGTTGTGGGCCCTCAATTTGCCTTAATCCTTCCTCATCCCAATATAGGGGAGATCTGCACTTTCTCCCATACAAGGCCTCATATGGTGCCGCCTTTAGGGAGCTGTGGTATTGATTATTATAAGCAAACTCCATCAAAGGGAGATACTTGTCCCCCGATCCCCTCATCTGCAATGTACAAGCTCTCAATAAATCCTCCAACGTTTGTATCGTTCTCTCTGTTTGTCCGTCAGTCTGAGGATGGTAGGCAGTTGAGAAATGGAGCTTGGTTCCCAAAGCCTTGTGAAGGCTCTTCCAGAATTGGCCAGTGAAACTAGGATCCCGATCTGATACAATAGTTAAAGGAACTCCATGTAGTCGTACCACCTCTTGTATATACAAGTCAGCCAATGCATCCACCCCTGGCTTGAACTTGATGGGGATGAAGTGTGCTGACTTAGTGAGACGATCTACAATCACCCAAACTCCATCGTTACCCCACTCCGTCCTCGGTAGTCCATAGACGAAATCCATGGTGATGTGTTCCCACTTCCACTCTGGTATCTCAAGTGGCTTTAGCTTCCCTGCTGGAGCTTGGTGCTCAGCTTTCACCATTTGACAGACTAAACACTTGTGCACAAACTCAGCTGCCTCCCTCTTCATATTGGGCCACCAGAAATGTTCTTGCAAAGTCCGGTACATCTTGGTCGATCCTGGGTGCATGGAATAAGGTGCACAATGAGCTTCATCCAGGATTTCTTGCCTTAAATTCTCCACGTTAGGTACACAAGCTCTGCCCTGGAAGAGTAACATCTCATTTGTTATTTCAAACTTAGTATCTTTCCCATCTTGTACCTCTTGAATAAACTTGACCAAAACTGGATCATCCTTTTGCTTCTCCTTAATTCGATCATGCAATAGTGGTCTAATCTTCAAATTAGCCATCATGCTAGTAGCGTCCTCCAGTTGTAGTTCCACATTCATAGCTCTGAGTGCCACTAGCTTCTGTATTGGGCCGTGCTCCTTCCTGCTCAGTGCATCTGCCACCACGTTGGCTTTACCAGGGTGGTACTCGATAGTACAATCGTAATCACCCAGCAATTCCACCCATCTTCTTTGTCTCATATTCAACTCCTTCTGATCCGTGAGATGTTTCAAACTCTTGTGATCTGTGAAGATCTTGAAAGTCTCACCATAAAGATAGTGCCTCCATAGTTTTAGAGCAAACACCACGGCAGCTAACTCTAGATCATGGGTTGGGTAGTTCACCTCGTGTGGTCGTAATTGCCTTGAGGCATAAGCAACCACCTTTTGATTCTGCATAAGAACACATCCCAACCCCTTGTATGATGCGTCACTATAAATGGCATACTCTCCGTCGTTTGATGGTAGTGTGAGTACTGGTGCAGTAGTGAGCTTCTTCTTAAGCTCCTCAAATGCTTCATGGCATTCTTCACTCCAGACATAAGTCACTCCCTTGCGCAATAGTTGGGTCAAAGGTCTTGCAATGCGAGAGAAACCCTCTACAAACCTTCTATAGTACCCAGCCATGCCAAGAAAACTTCTCAATTCTGGAACACTTTTCGGAGGTGCCCAATTGACCACTGCCTCAATTTTCTTTGGGTCTACTTCAACTCCTCTTCCAGAAACCACATGGCCCAAAAATAGCACTTCTTTTAGCCAAAATTCACATTTAGAGAACTTTGCATACAGTTTCTTTTCCCTCAGTATCTCCAATGTGATCCTCAAGTGTTCTTTGTGCTCCTCGTAGTTCTTCGAGTATATGAGAATGTCATCAATGAATACGATGACAAACTTATCCAAATACTCGTGGAATATGTTGTTCATTAGCGCCATAAATGCTGCTGGTGCATTGGTCAACCCAAAAGGCATTACCAAGAATTCATAGTGACCATATCGAGTACGAAAAGCGGTCTTTGGAATAGAGGATTCACCAACTCGCAACTGGTGATACCCAGACCTTAGATCAATCTTAGAGAACACAGAGGCACCCTGAAGTTGATCAAATAAGTCGTCTATCCTTGGTAGTGGATATCGGTTCTTCACCGTTGCCTTATTCAGCCTCCTATAATCAATACACATCCGCATACTTCCATCCTTCTTCTTCACGAATAATACTGGGGCTCCCCACGGAGAGATACTGGGTCGGATGAAACCTTTGTCTAGTAGCTCTTGCAATTGTTCCTTCAGTTCCTTGAGTTCCACTGGTGCCATCCGGTACGGTGGTATCGAAATTGGTGCAGTACCCGGAATAACTTCAATGTCAAACTCAATCTCTCTTCTTGGGGGTAACCCGGGGAGGTCTTCTGGAAACACGTCCGGGAATTCTTTCACGATGTCCACCTCTTCAAGATTCACTTCTGATGTCGTAGTAACATGGGCAAGATAAGCTTCACAACCATCTTGTATTAGTGCGAATGCTGTGGTTGCGGATATCAAACTCCCTGGAACGGCCCTGCGCATCCCCTTGAACACAGCCGTTCCTCTTCCTTCTATGTCAAACCGAACCTCCTTGTTGAAACAATCCACCAACGCCCTATGCTTGGATAGCCAATCCATTCCCAAGATGGCGTCAAATTCGTTGAAAGGAAGCAGCATAAGATTCCCCTCGAGTTCATACCCAGCGACCACTATTATGCACCCTCTGACTATCGAATTAACTATCAATGTATCACCTACAGGTGTACGCACCCCCAAATTCTGGCTGAGGTTCATAGGTGCCATGCCTAAGACTCTAGCAAAAGCAGTAGATATGAACGAATGCGTAGAACCAGGATCTATCAAAGCAAAGGCAGGACGATCATGTATATAAACCGTACCAGTCACCACCTCTGGGGCTGCATTGGCCTCTTCTCTCCTCATGGCAAAGATTCTGGGTTGACCGCCTGCCCTGGACATCTGACTCTCGTCACGACGGCTATTATAGTTGTTGTTGTTGTTGCTGAAATTGCTAGTCCTGCCACCGAGCCTCCCGCCTGAATGTGGCCTACCTCCAATGATCGAGGGCTCATAGTTCATCCTGGTCTGGCTCATGAGTTGTGGGCACTGTGGTTTAATGTGGCCCGGCTCTCCACAATGGAAGCATAGACCCAGAGGACGTCTACACTCGCCTAGATGGCGCTTTTCACACTTCTGACAAATTGGATATGTTTGATGTGTTGGTGCACTCCTGCTGGAGCCCGCTTGGCTCTGTGTCTGATGTTGAGTGATGGAACCAGAACCCCTCTTGAAATGGTTGGTAGAGTGGGTTTGGCCCCCCGTGTTAGTGGGCGCCTTCCTCTTCTTAGTCTCAAACCTGGCAGTCCTCTCCTGTTGGGCAATCTTCTCGTCCTTTTCTATACGGAGTGCAGCACGATACGCGGATGCTTTTGTTGCCCTCTCAGCTTCTCCCATGCTCCTCTTCAGATCTGCTCTCAACCCCATGACATATCGGTCACGTTGTCCCTCCGCCGTCCTGTATGCGGGATCAGCATATCTTAGCAGTTTCTTGAAGCACTCTGTATACTCCGCAACAGATTGTCCCCACTGCTGTCGTAGGGACATAAATTCTTCCATCTTCCCCTCTCGAACAGTGTCTGGAATGTACTCATCACGAAACACTTTCAAAAACTGGTCCCAGGTAATAGTTAGAGGCACCTCTTCACTTTCCGGTTGGGTGTGCCACCAGTCCCTTGCTGTACCCTGCAGTACGTGCACTGCCATGGCAATCCGATCCTCATGGTTATCGATACGCAGCTCATCAAGGGTGCGAGTGAGCTTCACCAGCCATGCGTCCACCACTTCAGGATTGGAGGATACTTCGAAGTCAACCACACTCATCTTCCTCAGTGCAGCATAATTAGGAATGGGACGTTGAGCAGGTGCCCTGGCTTGGGGGTTACCAACACTTTGGCTTCTGCAGTGAAATAAGACCTTGTATTAGAACTTCCGAAGCGTTCCAACTTATTAGTGGACGAGACTTAATGCTTTAAAGAAATCGATTTGATTTTTCTTGAAAATCTTATTGCAAATTGTTAAAACCTTTAAAACTCGATTGAAAACATGCAGACCGACTTCCCAGTATCTCACTTAATAGTGAGACAGAGGGAAACTGGCTCTGATACCAAAATGTAACACCCTAGACCGGCCGGTGACTAATTTTACCAAAATACCCTTGTTATTAGTCGAATAATAAATGCATAAAAGTCCCATAAACATTATTCCAAAATACAAGGAAAAATCCATCTTAAAATAGTATTCAAACATAATCCTCATTAAGTCTCAAGTCCACCAACAATGCATAAACTTAAACAAGTTCCGCTGGAAGCTCTTCGGGCCACTAACCCTTGTGATGACATCTGGGGCAGCAGCTATGTTCCTGCGATTGATCTGGGTGCTCCTGGTTTCCTGCAGCTCCTGAGTGCGGGCGTTGGGGTCAGTCCTAATCCTAGTTTCGCTTTAATGTTGAAGACTCTTAATAGCAACACTGGAATAAATAAATATACTCATGCAATGCTTCATGCTTAAATTTAGTATTCTTATTACTTGTTGTGAAAGGGGGCCCCGAACTATACTCAACTAGCACACTAACGGCCACCAAACGTAAACTTCCACCTGATGGGAAGATATAACATGGGTGTAACTTCCACCTGACGGGAAGTAACACAATTATAACATGAATGTTAACTTCCACCTGGCGGGAAGTAACATAATCCTGAACTTGACTTCCACCTGACGGGAAGTAGGGTAGCCGCGTGCACTAGTCAAGTGAGTAGTTAAAAACATGTTCTTACTTGATAACTTGGTAACATGGAACGTAAGTCCATAATCTTGCTCAAAACATAACTTCATGATGGAATGCAATGACATGCTTACTAACATAAATACACTTACCGTGGACATACATATAGAGCGTAACTTAATTAAATAACATAATTAGATAAATTAAAGCGAAATACTAACTAGCCCCTCAAACCACGCACCTTATTAATTCAAGAAGTTATAACGTGAAGGTTGGGGCCCTTGACTTAGTTGATTCCTCTTGACCCTATGGTGAAATTCAAAGTTAGATTGGTTGAGTTTTGGGTTCTTAGCGACGGCTTTCTCAACTTGGGAATACTTTGCAAGATGTGCAAAGTATGGTATACTAATGTACCAATTAATCTAACATATTAGAATCATTATTCTTTACATATAATAATTAAGGTCTTAATCAATCTTAATCATTGAAAACTAATTGTGCTACAGTAAACCTACGCAGGTTAACCTTAGATTATACTAATCAATTTATCAAACTAGATAACACATTATTTACCCATTAACTAATCCTATTAATTCATTCATCACGTGCTAGCAACATTACTCATATTATCATAACTCCCTTATACAATTCATTATCATCTTAAATCGTTCTAATTTAACTCGTCATAATATCTAACCTATCAAAGCTTATATTTTGCTAACTGATAACTTAAATCATCTTAACCTATTAATTTCCTAAGAGAATCATTTAACAACAACGTTAATCATATTATGGGATCAAACATATAATTAATCAAACTAACTCATTTTATTAGTTACTAAAATACTTTAACATCCTCATACGTCCATTAGTAAGATACCTAGTAAATCATTTACAATTAAATCCAATTGAATTAAAATGTAAATTACTCTACAGCTCATTTAGCTACCGCCGCCAAAACAGTCACTAAAAACTATGAATCTCGTCCCTAAAAGGGATGTCACTGACACTGGTTGGCCAGACTATAGCCACGGCGGCTGTTTTGTTGCTAAAAGCCTGTAATTCCGTCGCTAATTTCCCAGATTTCTACAAAGACGCATAACTCGCATAAATGGTGCCTTTAGCGAGAGGGATTGAGCTTCCTTACCTTCAATACGAGTCTAGGCCTAGGTAGGAAGCCTTAGGACCTCAGTTCCTTGTTTGGATCGTCGATTGATCACCCCGCTCTTTCGCCGCCGAAGCTACGCCGTAGAAGACCTTTTGTTTGTTAGTTATGTAGCCTTGAAACTTGAATGACGAGGGGATTCGTTTTGCTTACCTACTGGTCCAGAGAGAATGGAAGGTATCAAGTCAGTAGCTACGACTTGCTTCCTTTTCCTTCGGTGATGACGATTATGGCGATGATGAAAGGTGAATGGACCAAAGGAGGGAGTGAGTAGATGATGATGGGATGAACTTCTGGTCTTGAGAGTTAGCAGTACTGATGGGAGGTATTGAGATTGGGAGGAATGGCTTTGATGGTGCAATTTCCGGGCGATCGGGGGAAGAAGGATCGTTAATTTATTGAACTGAAGAGAAGGATTTGTGATAGGGAGGGTGCACCGACACCATTGCCAGCTCCTCATGTCCCTCCAATTTAATTTCCAACTCCCCATGTCAGAGGCATGAATGGGGTTATTACAGATCCCTTTGCTATTTATAACCAACAATTGGCTGTATAGGGCCAATTCTTAGCATTCATATTATCTGTCTAGCTTTCCCGCCGCTCCCGTCATGGATGCGCCGCTGCTCGCCGCCGACACCCTCTCCGCCGCCGGCGAGGACGGCGACTACGCCGCGGTCAGGACATGGCCGGAGCTGCGATCGGTGTTCCGGACGGAGACGGCGAAGCTGTGGAAGATTGCCGGGCCGATCGCCTTCAACATGGTGTGCCAGTTCGGGCTCAACTCCGTCACGGTCATGTTCGCCGGCCACATCGGCGACGTCGAGCTCTCCGGCGTGTCCGTTTCCCTCTCCGTCATCGGCACTTTCACCTTCGGGTTCATGGTTAGTTGAAGTTTCGGACAGACAATAGTTAATTTTCACTCACAAATAATCTTTATTTGTGAGTTTTCAGTACCTACAGTTCAGTACCTCTAGTTTTTTTAATTTTCATTCCAAAACCTACACTCTGAGTTTTCACCATTTTAAACAACTTTTGATTCATAAATTAAAGTTATCTCAAAGTTGAGAATTTTATCAAAGTGCAATGATTAGTAGGTTACTTATGGGTGGATTAAAACAGCATCAAATATAATTCATCCATTATATAATATATCCACCAAACTTAAATTCATTTTTGTCAAAATGCAACGGTCTGGCTATTGATTGATTAAAGGATTTCTAGAATTCTAATTGAGGGTAACATTGGTGCTTATTTATTTATATTATTACATGTTATTTAAAGTAAAAACTTCTAGACCAAAATCTTATTCGATTTCACCAAATTTTTTTTGCTACAACTACATTTAGTACCTAAATCTTTTAATATAGGCAATTCAGTACCTGCACTTTTTAAGTTTTGCAAAATGGTCTATAAAGTCAATGCAACTTGAACCCGTAAATCTAATCTATGAACAAACGAATCCATCAATCCAATCCATAAGTCCATAAACTCGACCACGAATAAAGATCCACGTATCCAGTCAATTTATCGCCTCTAATATTCCTTGTCAATAATCTAACACGATGTACCGAAATTCGCAGCTAGGCATGGCGAGCGCGCTGGAGACGCTCTGCGGTCAAGCTTTCGGAGCAGGACAACTCCACATGCTAGGAATCTACATGCAAAGATCATGGATCATCCTCCTAGTCTCCTCCTTCTTCCTCCTCCCAATCCTCATCTTCGCCACTCCAATCCTCATCCTCTTGGGCCAAGAAGAACACATAGCCAACATAGCCGGGAAATTCACATTGCTAACAATCCCCGAGCTCTTCTCACTCGCAATCTACTTCCCGACCCAGAAGTTCCTCCAATCACAGAGCAAAGTCGCCGCTCTGGCCTGGATCGCCCTCGCCGCCCTGATCGTGCACGTCCCCTTGCTCTGGCTCCTCGTTTTCGGGCTCGAATGGGGCACGACGGGCGCCGCGTTGGCCTACAATGTGACCAGCTGCGGGGTTGCGGTAGCCCAGTTGGTTTATGTGATCGCCCGGTGCAACGACGGTTGGACCGGGCTGTCGTGGTTGGCGTTTAAGGACATTTGGGGGTTCGTCAGGCTGTCGATCGCCTCGGCCGTCATGCTCTGCCTCGAGCTTTGGTACTTCATGAGTGTCACCATTCTTACTGGTCATCTCGACAATGCCGTCATTGCCGTCGGTTCGCTTTCTATATGGTGAGCTTATTCGTTACTGACCATGTGACATTTTGTGTGCTAGTTGTACAAAGATTTTGGTTGTGTTCTTTTTTGTGATGAAACAGGAGTAGCAACATTCCTTACTTATATAACTCTGTTTCATTTGGCAGTACAAATGTCGATGGTTGGGAAGCAATGCTGTTCGTTGGTATAACCATGGCTATAAGGTAACAAAATATATATATATGTTGTTGTTTTGATCAAAGAAACCGCGTTTGATTCCAATGACTCGGAGTTGTTTCGAGAGGTTCGGGTAATGAATTTTTATTCCAGCGTTCGTGTCTCGAACGAGCTTGGAGCGGGGCGTCCCAGGGCAGCGAAATACGCGGTCTACATCGTCGTCTTCCAGTCGTTCGTGATCGGGTTGTTGTGCATGGTAGCAGTGCTGATATCGAAGGACCATTTCGCGATCATTTTCACCGACAGCAGAGACCTGCAGAGAGCTGTGTCCAAGCTGGCGTTCCTCCTAGGCATCACCATGGTTCTCAACAGTGTTCAGCCTGTGATTTCAGGTAAGGGGTAAACACACACACACCAAAATCTCACTCAAGTTTGTTCTAACAAAAAGGGGGCAGAGTACTCTGTTTTTCTTAGAAGTCTTTCTGTTTGTTCAGGTGTGGCAATTGGTGCTGGTTGGCAAGGTCTGGTGGCCTACATCAACGTATTCTGTTACTATGTGTTTGGAGTGCCGCTAGGGTTTCTGCTTGGCTACAAATTTAACTTGGGAGTCGCGGTACCCACAAAAAAAAAAAAGGAATCTTCTTTTCCATTTATGTTTCATATTTTTCATTGTTGATTGGGTTTTGAATCATCGATGGTTTGTTTGAATGTTGTGCATGGCACAGGGGATTTGGGGAGGGATGATAGCAGGGGCAGTGTTGCAGACACTGATACTCTTGTTCATCCTCTACAAAACCAACTGGAACAAAGAGGTGAAGAGAAAGTGAAACCAATTTCTTACCATTTTATCTCTCCCAATTTCATCTCTTTTGAACATAATGGTTAAGAACTTGGGTGGTTTGCAGGTGGAGCAATCAACAGAAAGAATGAAGAAGTGGGGTGGGCAGGAAATCAGTGGTGGTGATCGTCAGGGGAAGATCACTGGAGCTGTGTGAAGATCATGAGTTTAGGAGAAGAGACGAATGTGGAGTGATGAACTGGAAAAAGAGACTGATCACTCATTGAAACGTGAAAGTCAGATTTTGATTTGTCATTTCAACGGTTTCCTTCTCTTTCTGCAGCTTAAAGCTGTTGCCTTCAACGTTTAGATGCTTGGGGAAATAGTCTAGTGAGTAGTTTTTGTGGAAGGAGTGAGCAAGGCTTGGTAGATAATTGATATTATGCACTTTTGCCAAACTATAAGCCATCAATGTCAGGATGGCCGAGTGGTCTAAGGCGCCAGACTCAAGTTCTGGTCTTCGAGAGAGGGCGTGGGTTCAAATCCCACTTCTGACAATTTTTTCCTATTTTCCACTTTCAATGTTTTTCTTTTCTGCAGGCTTTATTCAAGTGTGGCTATTGGTGTTGGGTTAGCAACAAAATCCATTTTTTATTTGATTTATGTTGGTCACATTGTTGATCCGTCGGGCATTCGGAAAGGAATGATACCGTCTACAACATTACAGACTCTGGTGTACTTCTCGTGTCTCTATCAATTACTCCTTGTCCTAGTGGAGTTCTTGTCCAGTTTGAAGATGCCTTGCAGGCTGCAGCAAAGCCATGGATGGTTAGAAATCAATGAATTGGGTGGTTTACATGCCGCTACTGCAATGAACAGATCAAATGCAGAAGTTGGTGACTAGTAAAAATTCAATGAGGCACACGCAAAAGAGGTATTCGGAAAGAAATAATAGCATCTACAATGTATTTGGGTTAACAACAAAATCCATTTTTTATTTGATTTATGCTGGTCTGACTGTTGATCCGTCGGACATTCGGGAAGGAATGATAGCGTCTACACTCTACAGCATTACAGACTCTGGTGTACTTCTCGTGTCTCTATCACTTACTCCTGTCCTAGTGGAGTTCTTGTCCAGTTCGAAGATGCCTTGCAGGCTGCAGCAAAGCCACTTACTCCTGGCTATTAGTTAATGCATGCTGGACTGAACGTTGCATCTGTTTCACATTAGGGCAAAGCAGCATACCGGCAAATACTTACATAGTTCACACAAAAAGTATATAACTTCACATACCAGCATTTCATTCCCATAAAAATTATGACTCGCATTAAAAGATCAATGAGTTATACAGATACAAGCCCCCCAGCCAACAAGGGGGGAATCCAAGCTAATAACTAAGCTACAATGTCCTCAAAACATTCCCACAATATTAAAGTAGGCCACAATTGAACCTAAAAACACTTCAAGCCTTCTGCTTTTTGGGCACTCGGTAAGCACCAATGACACAAGCATGGTCTCTCTCAAATGGCTCCAGTGTCACCTGCTCGGCAGGCTTGAACTGCTCCTGCGTCATCTTCTTCACTTCGCTCTCAAACACAGCCTCGGCTGGCACGGTGGAGTCGATACAGTTTGCCTGAATCAAACAATGAAAGGTTACATTATTGTCAGTTCATGTGCATGATTACTTGTTGGGTTATTCGAGCTGGCAGGAAAAGACTTGAGGTCATCGGAACTAACCTTGATAGAGATGACAAAGTGACCACCAGCCTTCAAGAAGTAGGATGCATTCAGTGCTAGAATCCTAGCCTGCATAATCAAATTAAATAGACCATGAAACAATAAATTTACAAGGCTTAAACTACCTTTATCGGTAGAAATTTGTCTCGGTGAGAGCACACCAGGCTGACACAAGTATTACCTTGTAGCAACAAACATTTACAAAAGTTGGACTACCAGCATAGATGTGTAACTAGCAAATGGGGATACAAACTTATAGAAGAGAAAAAACAAATGTATCTATAAACAGTAAAGAAGTTGCTGATCATAAAGAACTGACTTTGTAATAGAATGATCCCTTTTCAGCATCAGAAACTCGGACCTTGCATCACTTAAGATGTCCATAAGGGGAACCCGAGTCCTTCGTCATATGCAGAATTACAAGTTCACACCACTACAGTTATTGAAAACAAAGACAGCAAATTAAAATGGATTGTCAAATAGAATAGAGATAACTACTGAGATAGCATCAGAAACTCGTGTTTTCATCACTCCAAAAGTCGTGAAGGGGAATCCGAGTGAAGTCTCTTCATATGCAAGTAGAAAATACCTCACAGACCGAAAACCAAAAGAAAGACTTCGTTTTTAACAAACCATCTCAGCCAAGATATGCCAAACAAGAACAGCAAACACCAGACCACTTGAAGTATAAAACAGCCGACATAGAAATATGTAAAGTCATATAAAAGGTCTCTCAAATGGTTCCCAAACGTGAACCATGTAGATATTGAAAACACACGAAAAAAGAAGGGCAAACCTGATCAGGCTGAGCAACATCAGAAAATATGACATCAACCATTCCTACTAGCATACGGTACTTGGCTGGATGCCTAGCATCTTCAATGATGGGGATAACATTCGTGCGCTTTTTAGCCATGTTCACTAAATCCCTACCACTTCTGTGAGAAAACTCCACTGCATAAACCACCCCAGTCTGCAGAAAACCACACATTTCATAAGCAAACTAAGTGATAAATGAGCTATTGATACTAGAAACCCGTTCAATAAAAAGACTTACGGGGCCAACAAGATCAGACACGTGAGAAACAGTAGTTCCTGATGCAGCTCCAAGATAGAGAACCTTAGCACCTGGTTTCTGCCATCATTAAACAACACCAGCTTAAATCAGTACCGGTTCATAAGCAACCCAGATCCAAAATGGATAATAAAATCAAATAGAAGCAGTAAACAGTTGCTTACAATCCAGATATTGTCAACACCACCAAGGATTGCAGCTGCCAACTTCGACCTGAAGGGGTTCCAGACCCTGTACTCAACCTTAGTTCCATCTTCATTCTGTGGTATAAAAAAACCCATAAAAGATCAAACCTTTAGAACAAAAACTAACAATTTGGTCAAATAATTACAAGTGAGGAGTTGGAAAAGGCCAAGATACTGACCTGCACAGAGACCCTCTTCTCATTGTAGACAGCCTCGCCAGGAACAAGATTCTTTGTCACAAGGGCATCCTCTTTCCCCTTGGCAATAAACACTCCTTCGTGTCTATGAGGCTCAACCACAACTTTGCTCCCGCCTTTCATTCCGCCTCCGCCACGGCCGCGACCCCTTCCTCCACCACGGCCGCCGAAACCGCCGCGACCTCCGCCACGGGGCTTCATCCCGCTCCCACCACGGTCGCCGAATCTCCCGCCGCCACGGCCGCCGCCGCCCCTTCCTCGGCCTCCACTGTCACCGCCCCTTCCTCCTCTAAACCCACCAGATCTTCCTGCTTGTTACAGAACGAGAAAATACGATGAATTACCCTCCAATTCAAAACCAGGAAAACACGAACTGAACTCAGTAAAGAGCACTCTACAAAATAGCGGGAAGAGGATGAAACCATAGAAAGAACGAGAAGTTTACCTCTTGGAGGCGCCATTGCAGCTCGACTAAGAACAGTAAAGGTGGGAAATTGAGGCGTAGTTTCGTGAGCTTGTGAATTATGTGGCGGACGAGGCTCTTATAGCTGATGGAATGTTTAGGGTTTTAGTTTCTAGGGTTTAAATGGCGGAGAGTAAAGAAGCAAGCAAGTTGTGTTTATCCGCGGTTTTTTTGTCTTGCAGGTCATGGACTACTTGGGCTTCGACTCTGTTACAGAAGCGGCCCACGCGGGTAAAGCCCATAACGATCAGAAGGAGGTTCCATCTCGGCCCACTTACCTCGGTAATATACCTATTCTCCACCTCCATTTTTACACATTAATCAATTTGACCCTAATGAACCTAAAGGGAGGAAATTCACCAAACTCGTTAATTGTGGCTGCTGAAATGACACAATCAAGCAAGCAGTATATTATTGGTCAGCAATTGAGCAAAACCTGAAATTCTGGAAGTAAATTACAACTCTTTTCTATCTCAACTCCTACGAGGAAAGGAAATAATGAGGGGATCTCCCAACAATCACAATACAAATATGGAGAAAAACAAAATGGCATCTGTTTTTCTCTCCAGGAGTTGATTCTGAAGTTGTATCCCTCATCGTTCCAAGCAACTACAACTACAGCTTTAGACTGAACGACTGCTAGAAGCTTGTTCAAATAGACAGTTGAGCAACATCAAACTGCGGATCCCTTGCTGAGCTTCGTGGAGTTGCTACGGGTGTAATGAATTCTACGAGACATGAGGCAGACAGCTACCAAAAGGCTCGAGCTTGTCTGCAATTTAACCAAAACAGCAAAGCTTGGAAACAACCCATCAACGTTTGACCCATTGGAAGCTCTTCCTTGCTTTTGCTTTGCCAGGTTTCTTTCTTTCAACCACACGCGAGTCCCTCGTCAAGAAACCGGCTGCCAAACAACAACATGAACAAGGAGTCAAGATGTGGGCTGGTAGTAGGAGATAAAAGCCAATATTATTCATATATAAGTTGAGTACTCGTGTTAATCCCCATATCCTAACAGTAGATAGAATTGTACTTAATAATTTGCAGCATGCGGGAGATGGGATAATAAACTTATTTGACTAAAGAACAAAGTGAAACTTGCATAGACACCATACCATTTCTGAGTGGAGGCCGCAAGTCAGGTTCCCAGTTTTGCAATGCTCGGCTTATACCCAACTGAATAGCTCCAACTTGACCTGTGTTTTAGTCCATATGAGGAGGTGAGCATAAATTGATCAACTTAAACTCTTGGGGAAAAGATCAACAAGACATACTCCTACTACCACCTGAATGCTGCTCTCAAGTCTCAACAACTTGTAGACACTTCATGAGAAGTAATGAAATCTATTCACTCATAACAACTCACAAGCTTGCTTATATTCATCGGAAATGAAATGAGGCCTATCCTTCTGATCTCAACCTATGTGATAAAGTGGTAATTGAACGACACTATGAGGCAATCACCTTCCATTTTCTATACACCAATAAACTGCAAACCGAGCTTAGACATTCCTTGACATCGGAAGAAACCAAGTAACTAAATACAGTGATTATGGAATCGGATAGAAACATGTCACCTCATGCTTAGCAATCAAGACCATACAACATTTCATATCCAAACAGCTTGAGAAAACCTTTGAACTCACCTGAAACACCACCTCCTTTGACAGTACAGTCGATATCCCAACGACCCAGAGTCTTTGTCTCCGAGAAAGGCCGCAGAAGTGCAGCACGATGATCGAGCATCGGGAAATAGACATCGAATTGTTTCTCATTCACACTAAAGTTCCCCTCCCCGGGCTGGATCCATACACGGGCAATGCTGCATTTCCTTCTCCCTGTTCCATAAGCTCTCCCTTTGTCATCCACTAGTCTCACCCTCGCCTTGGCAATTTCCTCCTGCTTCTGCCTTTCCATTTCAGCTCTCGTGGATTTCCTCCTACTCTTTTCATATCGAATGTCCTCTATCTCCCCCAATGTGGGCAACCCTTCAACCCCTTCGAAGTCCTTCAGTGCAATCAAACTGTCCAACATTTCATCCGTGATTCCAGATTCCGCAATGAGATCACCAAATGCACGATTCGGACCTGCAGCAAGTACAACATTTGCTATTACAAAACCCTACAGAAATGGCGACTAAAGCACAACAAAATTTATTCTAAAAGCTTGCCTTTTTTCAAAATGGCGGTGAGGTTCTCCTCTTCCAATAAAAGATTCTTCATCTCTTCCTCTCTCTTCTCAATCTCCTCTTTCAAACTAATACCCGTCCTGCTCTCAGCTCCAAACACCGAGCCCGGATCAAATATCTCGCTCTTCTCCTCTCCCGCAGCGTTCTTCAAGTCCCACGGCATGAAATCCTTTGACGGCCCCCAATTGTTCGTCCCAGCTGCTGAACCCGCATCGCTCTCAATTTGCCCGAAAACGTCCCCGCCGGCACTCACGCCTCCCCCATCCTCGATTGCCCACTTCTCGACCGCCGCCTTCGGCCCCGGAGCGTCGGATATCCCCTGCAAGTCACCGCCATCTCCGCCGGCAACCTCGGTGAAGAACGGATCCGAGAACCCGCTACTGGTGTCCGACGAAAGCTTCCAGAGGTCGGAGGCGGAGCTGCCGCCCTTGCCGGTGCCGTCGTTGTCATTGTTGCCGCCGGTGGAAAGAGGGCGGAAGAATGTAGTGAATCTGGAAGTAGGAGGGCAAGTCGGGAGAGGAGAAGAGGATTGGGGTTTTGGGTAGAGATTGGTGAGACGTCGGAGCTGTGAGGGTTTAGGAAGGAGTCGGGACAGCATCGTGGAAGACGATCGGAGAGCGGGGAGAGAGAGAGAGAGTAGAAGGCAGGAAACTCGGATTTTTTTGGCAGGGTTTTAGTCGGGGAAAAAATGGTTCAGGAGATTTCGGGCTCTTAGTGGGCCTCGATTTGTATTGGCAGGCTCGGACCGCTGTTTACATTGGGCTGAGAATGGGCTTCCACGAACTAGAATCCAGTCCACTATACATCAGACCTTGTTGTGTTGTGCCCGAGATTTTCATCATTCCAAAGTTGGTATTTTACTGAAGGAAATATGTTGTTTGCTGGATGATTTACCGGATTACTCGCTTAGGTTCATTGGTCGTTCTAACAAACAGGGAAGCTCATTTTGTGGCTCGTCATGCCCTGTTCATGTCGCCCGTATGTTTAAGGGGTTCGACTTCGTCTCTTGGTTACGATGTATGTAAGGATCCTTTTGGATCTTTTTCAGACAATGTATCTTTTTCATTCCCCGCTTCTGGGGTTTTGAATGACAAAAAAAAAATACATCAGACCTTGTTCTTTTCTTTCGTTTTGACAACTTTCGTAGAAATTTATATTTTGGGAGAGGAAATTCAGCTGTAATCTGAATCCTCTGGAGCTTATATAGCTACCATTTCAATTAACGAACTACAATACGTGTCCTTACATGATTGGATAAAAAATTAAATAAACAGTGAAATTAACGGCTAACAACAATAAACACAACGCTATCGTTTTCCTCCTATCTCACGACTTCATTCTTCTTCTTTCTCCTTCTTTAAACGTCACCGTCTTGCTTTAATTAAAATCAGCAGTGCAGTAGGATTGCAGCTTCCTTCAAGCCATCAACTCTGTCACATTTTCGCGGGGGAAAAGAACAGAATACTAATAATGGAGCAAAAGAAGATGCAAAAAGGGAAATGTCAAAATTCAACAGAGCAACATCCACGATTGGCACGCAGATCAATCTGCAACAATTTATCCCATTATAATTGATGAAGGACCACCAATCCCACGAGCGTCCTTCAAGTCTTCAACATCGTTGTTTAATATCAATTTCAGGCTCAACCGTATTCTTCATCTATGTCCTTATAATATATTAAAAAAATGCAGAATAAGACATTGTGATTTCAACATATATTTTTTATGATTAGATGTTTAGGGCATCAAGTTAGTTCTAACTTTTCTCTGGCTTGTACGGTTGTACCCATCACTTAGAGAATATACTCCAATCTGAACACTATACGTTTCTTATACGAGTTCAACACACGTTAATCACTTGCATTACAACCTTGCTGTAAATGGCTCGAAATGTAGTTAATGGTAAGTCCTCATCCTTCCATTTATTAATGATATATAAAAAGGTGATAAAAAAAAAATACTTCTTAATTTAAACCTGAACCAATACTTATGTAGGAAGAAAAAATTCAAGTTCAAGCTCCCATTTTTCTCAACAACAGACCAACCATTTTGGAAAACCTACACACTTGGCCAACAACAACAAAAAAACAAAGCTCTGGTCAGACCTCGTGACAACTGGGCAGTGCATCGCCGGGGAAGGCATTCTCTAGGGAGATGCAAACTATAATTTTTTTTCTAAATATATTAATTACTAATAAATTATTCAGCGTTTACACCGCGTAGGCATCTTCTTTTCCTGCAGCATAATAATATTCGCTGCCTTTTGCCAACTCCTCTCTATGACTCTATCATATCATGTCATAACTCTCGTGTTCCGGTCACCGGCGCAGATCGCATTTTCCCTGCCACCACCGCCACGTGTCGGTCACCCGCTGACTCTTCTTCGTGCTTAAGCTAGCCATTTCCACCAAGTTCCACGCCCATTACCAGGCCTTCCTCAAACCTTCCCGAACTAACCCTCCCCGAGTTCCACGCATCAGCTATTTGATATTAGAGTAAAGGAATTCAAGATTTTGGTGTGTTTTGTGTATATGAAATCCGTCAATATTTTTACCAAGAAAAAAAAAATCCGTCAATATTCGTTTTAATTTCAGAAATGATTGGACGAACTGATACATGCTTCAAAAGATTAAATAATATAGTTTAACATGTATTATGAATTTACAACATGCGTATTATTCATAAATAAATCGAGAAATACAATATAATGTAGATAAATATATATTGAATTTTCGGGTGGATAAATAACTTGTTTGCAAAAATAGCACCGCGTCGTTCCATGTGTAGTGAGTAGAGTTAGAAATCGATACGACATCAATATCCCAATACCAAATATCGAAATCACGATATCAAATAGTGCTATCCCAAGATAAATTCGGTATCCCAATTCCAATCTCTAATATTTTGTATTTCTCGATCTTCCGGTATACAACAATCTTAATCTCGTAATTTATAATATCAATTAACACTGAAAATTCAATTATAATCTCCATTATATAGAATAATACGTATTTAGAGCGACTAGGGCCCTAACTATCCATTGGGAGAGCCATTAGGGCACTAATTATCCCTTCGTTTCCAACTTGTAGATTGGCAGAAGCGAGGAAGAAATTGAATCCAACTCTAAGGGTATTCAAGTAATTCACCATCGTTTCCTTGCCATATAAAAACCCCGGCGAATTGCTGACCAGGAAAAAAAAAACAGAGGCGTGACATTAGATCACAGCAAATCCCACCAATTCCATCGCCATTTCCTCGCCTTCTCCAATCATCTCTCTCACAAATCAAAAAAATCATGGCTTCCCGTTACGAGGCCGAAGTGGTGATCTCATCGGCGAAAGACCTCAAGAACATCAACTGGCGCCACGGCCCGCTCCGCCCATACGCCGTCGTCTGGGTCGACCCGAACCAGAAATCGTCCACCCGGGTCGACGAGGAAGGCGACAATTCCCCCCTGTGGGACCACACCCTCGTCATCCCGCTCCCGCCGGGCCCGATCGACTCCCACACGCTCCACATCGACGTCGTCCACGCCGGCCGGGAGGAGGACACCAAGCCGCTCATCGGATCGGCCAAGCTCCCTCTCCGTGACGTCATCGACGAGGCCGGCGGCGTCGGCAGCGGGGAGCGGGTCAAGCGATCGTTGACCCTCAAGCGCCCTTCCGGCAGGCCTCAGGGGAAAATCGAGGTGAAGGTCGCGGTGAGGGAGCCGATTTACCAGGCGCCCGACGCGCGCTACGCGCCCCCTTATGGATACGGGGTTCCCGTGTCGCGCGATCCTTACGCGCCGGGTCCTCCAGCGGGTTACGGGGCTCCGTACGGGGGACCGCCTAATTACGGGTACGGGGCACCGGTTCCCCAGCCTTACTACGCCGCGGCGGCTCCGCCGCCAAGCGGGTATCCGGTGGGGTACGGGAGCGGCGGGGGGTACGGCGCTCCGCCGCCGACGGCGGCGTACGGGCAGCCGAGCTACGGAGGTGGGTACGGGCAGAATCAAACGGGCTATGTGCAGGAGGAGAAGAAGAAGGGTAAGTTCGGCGGGATGGGGACCGGATTGGCTGTGGGCGCGGTAGCCGGAGCTCTGGGTGGGATCGCATTGGTGGAAGGGTTTGATGCTTTGGAGGATAAGATCGCCGACGACGCGGCGGAGAAGGTGGAGGATGACTTGGGATACGACGACGATGATTTCTAGAATCTTTTTTTTTTTTTTTCTGGATAAAAGGGGATGTGTGGGGCCGGAGCTTGCGTTGGTTTTACTTGTTCTACCTTGTTGTGTTTGCTCGCCGATTGTTCTCGATTCCGGGCGATGTTTGCCTTTAGCTAATTGCCTTTTCCTCCGGTAATTGACTTTTCACATTTATCAAATGGGCAAAGTAGAAACTGAAATGAAAGATTGACGATTCTCCTTAGGTATGAATATGATTGATGTAGAATGAGAATGACTACACTTGCGATGTTGGTGTCAAGAATCAGTTAGTGGCACGGAAAATAAATTAGATTTAAGACGGTGTAACGAATTTTAATTGTTGTGAAATCTTGAGGTCTGATCTTTTCTCATTAATCTCTTAGTATATATATGCAACTGAATAGAGGTGGCAATTGGATCGGATTCGTGGATTCGTGGATTGGATTCGTGGATCCATAGATCAAATGGATTGGATCCAATGGATTGGTGGGTTCATGGATTGGATCCAATGGATTGGTGGATTGATCCATGAATCCAAATAACATCCAAGGCTTGGACCAAAATGTAAATTTTGAAAAGTTTAGGTACTAAAATGTCATAACGAAAAATTTTAGGTACCAAAATGTAATTTTCCAATGATATTTTTCGTATAAAAATATAAATTTTAGGTACCAAAATGTAAAATGTAAAAAATATAGGTACCAAATCGTAATTTGCCATTTGGATCCATGGATTGATCCATGAATCCACCAATCCAATTGGATTTGGATCAAATGGATTGGATTTAAATGGATTGGATTAGGTGGATAATTTGGTGGATGGATTGGATTGGATTCATGGATTTGGATCCTAATTGCCACCTCTACAACTGAACCACTACATGACAACCATGACCAGCAGCCCTTTTTGTAGTGTTCTTTCTTTAACATGAAGCATAAAGCATTACAAACTTGGCCGAAAAGCAAACCACGACTTAAAATAGAACAAAACGACATCGCACAACAAAACGGTGTGTATCAACAAGTGATCATTTCTTCGTCTTCGCCTTCAATCATCGAGGGTTCGATACAAACAGTCGACTGTAACTTTGCAAAATTTGAATTTCGATTCTCTTTGTTCTATTGCCCTCCCCGTAGTTGGTGAGCAGAAATTGTGCACACCAAGTTTGGAGAAGAGGTAGCAAAATTGGGACAGGAGATAGGTTTGGTGAACAAATCGGCTAATTGATGAGAAGAGGAGACATGGAGCAGCTTGATTACTTTGGCTTGCAGTTTCTCATAAACTAGGTGGTTGTCGAGCTCGATATGCTTCATGCGTTCATGGAAGATAGAGTTCTCTACAATATATATATAGCACTTTGATTATCACAATATTGAGTAGCTGGTTGAGAGTGGGTGACTTGAAATCATCAAGTAGAAACATGAGCCGTTGTTTTTAATTAAGGACAAGAGGATCGGCTATGATCATGATCTTGAAGCCACAACTGTAAAGTCTGTAATCCAGAGCATATATATCATCTTATATTCTTATGCACGAGTTAATCGAATTGAAAGAAGTGAAAAATTGATTGAAGCAATAGTGCTTCTATCATATGGTATTATTCTCGAATCCAGATTAGTGCAACTAAGAATATATTGCGAAAGTCAAAATGCACAATAAACTAAAGATACATACATAAAACGATGTTTTTTTATGCTAATCTAACTATTAGCATTATCGATGCTAATCTAACTATCAATGCTCTGTTTTGCTAATTAAACTAATCCATGTCCGGAGCTATGGTAGGAAAAATCCAAATCGGAGGCGGCATGTCTCGATTCTGAGCCGGAGTAGAAACATAAAATGAACCAAATTTCTTCTCCTTCACATTGAACACTCCTACATCATGTGGTCCTAAATTAACATCAGGGAAATTAAACTCCGAAAAATCGTCCGTGTAATAAACCGAATCAGACCGAACACCCTCGAATTCTCGGGCTCGAACCGCAGTCAAGTAATTATCCCCAACAAACACCGCATCCCCATTCAAATCCTTCACCTCCACAAACCGCGAACTCACCCCGCGATCTCCCTCCTCGTCGTCTCGAAGCTTGAATACCTTGAAGCTCCTGGTGGCCATGGAAAGCTCGTACCCTTCCATTTTCTCGTAGAATCGAAAAATCATGAGCAGATCTCGACCGTCCGATGATTCCACCAAGTATATGTACACGCACGCTCGAGGTTCAACCCACGGCGGAGCCACCAACTCCGGTCGAAGTTGTTGTTCCTTACCGAGTTTCGTCACATTGACCCGCACAATCGACCCGCTAGACCCGGACCCGTAAACCCAATTTGTAGTAGTACCGTGATCACCGCGAAATACGATGTCTTTTAGCCCCCGCCGCCCGTCACAGGGTACAATTTGTCTTTTTTAACGTGCTTCCATTCTTTCTCCCCTGTTTTCATCACGGCCAGAGTTCCAAACTCGCCGAGAACAGCGGCGACGATGAAATCGCCGTCGGGGGAGATGGAAGGGTCGGCCGATAGGATCAATTTCCTGACATTGTACGCGAAATGTCGATCGTGCTTGGCGCGATCGATGAGCGTTTTGATGTAGTCAGGGGAAGGGATGATTTGGGGGAGAAAGATTCGAGCTTTGGTGAAAGGGTTGTAGAGGGCGACGAAATAGTCCTTCCCCAAGAAGGCGAGCCAGCTTTGGTTAATTAGGAGCTTGTTTGCCGCGAAGCTGTACAGGCTTCGCCGCCGGCAGCTGCGGTTCTGTGTTGGGACCAATAACAGGGGAAGTTGGTTCTGGCTGGTGGCGATGCGGCGTCGTATGTGGGATTGGGCTGTCGAATTCCACGGCTTGCACACGGAGGTGAATCGGCGGTAGTCTTGTAAGGAGATGAGGTGGGAAAGTACAGAGTCGAGGACGTTGCAGGGGAGCCACGCCCACTCTCTTGCTGCCGTCTCCTCCGCCGCCGGCGATGATGATGTGGTGGTGGCGGTGGCTGCCATTCGGCTGAGTTGATTGGTTGTTTGATTCGCGTGCGCTGTTGCGAATGAGAAGCTTAACGGTTTGTATGTACACAAACTTTGCCCTGCTAAACTTCGAAAGTTGTACTTACCGATCCCGACTAGGATTTGAACTCTTTTGATGAGATTTGGGTAAAAGCCGTGGTTAAGAACCGATAGAACCACCAAACAGCTACATATTTGCTTGGGATGGTTAGAGATTGACCCAACGATTTTCTATGATGTGATATAAGAGGAATTATTGTGTACTCCAGTGGTACCACGTAAGCAAGCTGATTTGGTACTCCAAACCAATAGCAATCCGCCACATGTCCTGCCTGTTTCATTTAATTTACTACTAGATAATTTTTTGGGACTTTTGATTTCCGTTTTTTATTACCTCCCATTAATATAACAATCGAAGCTTCTCTCTCCTCTGTCACCGTCTTTATTTTCCGTTGTAGAGCTGCCGGCGAGTAATTTCACTCTTCCTGCTTCATCGTCTTCTCTCGTCGTACACAATCGATTCTACTTTTTAGAATCTTCTCCTTATTTTTCCAGAACAAGACTCCTTACTCCTTAGCCTTGACGTAGCAGGCGCTAAGAACTCCCTGATTTCAATTTTCGGGGCTTCCAATTTCAATCAAACCTTCACCATAGTAGTTCCTCATATCATACGCACGCACTGACTGTTCCCTCGTCAATTGAATCGATTTAGCAGACAGGCGTTTAGGGCTCCCAAACATAGAAGACGACGGTTGCTACATCGGAAACTCGAAAGTCGGAACTATGGAGCAGGACACGCTCTAGAAAACAGAGCAAAGGTTTTGATTTATTAAAATTTATATTTTATTAAAGGTAACACGGAGAAGCCACCGGAGGAAACAAAGGAAGAAAGGAGAGGAGAGAGAGACTTTAATTATTCAATTAATTGAAGATAATAGTAAGAAGATGAATTCAAAATCCCAAGGAAGTTACTCCTGCAATAAATTAATTAATGAATCCGAGATTAAACGTGGCGGACTGGAATTGGTGGGGAGTACCAACTAAGCATGTCTACGTGGTACTCCTGGAGTATTGAATAATTTCTCGTGATATAAAATTGAATGAACTTTAAAGATTTGACTGATCCACTTGTTCATTATTTTCAATTAGAAAAAAATTAAGAAATAAAACAATTACGTAAACTAAGATCATCCCATTTCAACTGCTAATTTTGTTTCTTATTTCTTTTTCCGGGCTTTTTGTGAGTTTTATTTGTTCCGCTACGAATTGCCACCCTCGTTACTAATTTGAATTTATCATTTTTTTTTGAGATTGTTTGAATGATTTGTTAGAACTTCTGGTGATGGATGATCTAAATTTGAAATTGTTTATGATTAGTGATAATTTCAATCCTAAATTAGTGTTGTCTCTATGTTGTAGCACGTGAATGGTTTTAACAATCGTTAAACCAATAGGTCTATAATGGTTAAATCGTTAAACAATAAACCACTAATTTTCAGTTATGAAAATAAAGGTTGAAACTAAAAATGAACATTCGTAATTATTTTTCATTCTAATTTTGCATCGATCGTACCCAAGGGGAATCATCAATCTTAATTTCAACTGTGTTGCAATTTTTTATAAGGGTGGCGTAGATTAATTTGTTATAACTTATAAGAACAGAATAGGATAAGTCACAAGACATGTAGAGGCTACTTGCATAGGTACTTAGTACGACCTGGTCAATCCCATACTCGACCGATTTTGTCTAAATAGATATAATTTTACTCAAATAATCTAGAGTTTTATTTTTGTCCATCATATATATATATATGGTAAAGACGGGTATACTCTAATTCCCAAAGTGATATAATCGTTAGATGTACTTTGATGAGCTCCGACCAATCTCAACGATCAATTATTGTTTTCTATTAAATTGAGATTAGGGTTAGAGTTTTGAGAATTGGAGCCTGCGTTTATCCATTACAGGTTAGTGTATAATATCATACCCTGGACTCGGTTCAATCTAGATAGAGAGATCTAACTAGTAGTATGTGGAGTATACTATCACACATGACACACCCACACCCACGCATGCATGCATGCTCGCGTGTGCGCGCACGTTGTTGATGTTTTAGATTAAATGAATTATATGGTTCATGTTAGAGAATTAGAGATAGGAGTTCACCCATTAGAGCTTAGGGTATAGTGTCATGCCTCAAACTCTGGTTAATTCGTGGGCTAAATAGTAAATCTCGATGGGGATAAGGTAATGTGATCGCAGAAGTATAGTATATCGTGACCATATACATATAGCGTGTGTGACTTTTGTGCACTCATAAATGAGAACATATTATGCACCCAACTCTAAAATTAGTTTTAAAATATCAAATTTTAAATTTTAATTTGTAGCATTAGTCTAATATGATGATATAACATATAGGATCACAACTAATGATGCATTAACCTAAACTCTAAATATTCAATTTTGAAAATATAAGCATATACTGAAGCTTTACACCATCTCACACCTCCAAATACTTGAATTTGACTGAGTCGGTGGGTCATATCTCTAGTTGCTACAAGCTTACATTGACTGAGTCGGTGGGTCATATCTCCAAAAATGAGCATGCAAATGTGCACGAGGAATGTGAATATAAGCATGAATGATACATACCGAGACTTGAACTTACACCTTTTTGAAGATCAACCATGGTTGTCAACAATGTCAATGTTGCTCAACAAATGTTTCAGTGTGCTGGCTGTCCGAGAGAGTTTGACATTGCATGGGCTCAAATCATGCATGAGGGGGATGACCACCACTAGGGATGGTATGATATCGGGTCTTGGCTTGGGTAGGTCAGGGAGTTGGATGGTGGGTTTTTGCTTAGGTTATTTTGAGTTTTGTTTAGGCCAGTGTTAGTGGCAAAATGGTTTTATTTATTTATTTATGGCGATGTGTGTAATCTGGATGAAAAAGGGATGGAAACTAGCGCAATTACTTATTTGTTAGCTATTGAAAATGTAAATGACTATCTTATTAAAACATCAACGTAAGTGGTCAACTTGTTAGTTACCCCAATCAAACGTAAGTTACATTTTATCTTATTAACCCCCACAAATCGCATTAACCCAACCAAAAATCCAGAGTCATACTCATTGCCCAACAAAAAAATCTCTTTACCTTTGGTCCCTGTCATTGTCCAGCAAGCTCAACACCTGTCTCAAAAAATATAATCCAACCACCACATGTATATTAAAATGGAATTCGGGTAATGAAGAAAGAAAAATATAGGATTGCATTAATATTCTTGCCAATTAGAGTTGCATTTCAAGTTACGTGGTTTTTAATTTGCTTCTTTGAGCTCTGTCACTTCTCTAGATAACAATAAATACAAAATTATAAATTCATGGGTTCTTTCACAAGCACTTGGTCTGCATGCAATTTAATAAATTTAAACCGATTATGTTAGACAAGCAATGCTCGAATGCCAAATTTGTAATTGAAACATGCATTTGCTAAGTTGTTTTTATAGGAGCTTTTTACAAAACACATTGTGTGCATATATGTGATGATCAAATAATGGCCAAGCAAATAAGATAACTTAAACTGTTTACATTAATCAAAGGTTTATTATGAGCCCGAAGGGCGAAGGGAGAAGGCGAAATTTCATAAGAAAAAGAAGAAAAAAAGCGTAGAATATTCGCATGTCACATTTGTAATTAAAACATTGAATTGGTAAGTTGTTTTCATAGAAACTTTTTACCAAACACCTTGTGTGCGTGATGTGTGATGATCAAATAATGCCCAATCAAATAAGATAATTTAACCCGTTTACATTAGACAAGAACTACCCGCATGCCAAATTTTTAATTAAAACATTCATTTGCTAAGTTGTTTTCACAGGAGCTTTTCATCCAACACTTTGTGTGCATGGTATGTAATGATCAAGTAATACCCAAGAAAATGAAAAATATGTGCAACATAAAGGGATGAATACAAAGAAAGTTGTTACTATTTAATACTGCAATTTGATATGCAATATTCAAATGAATGCTATTTGAGTTGCGATTTTTAAGATTATTTTCCACTTATAAGATAGATAGAAATAAATTAATTATTAAATCAAATTAAATTAATCATAATATGAAAATCAAAGTATCAAACACCAAAGAATTATCTAAGAGAGACTTAGTGAGTTAACTAACCTGCTAGAAAAGTACTTTGATTTTTATATTTTTGCTTCCTATATGTTTTCAATTTAGAAACGTAAAACTTTTAGTGTAATGAGTTAAGATTCATGTCTTTGTATGAAGAGACTCAGGTACAAATCTCAACAGGTCTACTCTCCTCTTCATGGTTGCCGCTTTAATTATATGTCGTTTTTAAATTTGCTTAGACTTGCATATAGACATAAGTTAATAACTCTAAAGATTTTATCGTAATATCTAAACAATGGTAGGATTATCATTTAGTTTTTTTGTTGTGGTTCATTCATTTTAAACCTTTATTTAAGTTTGTAAAGGTAAGAGTACAAGATACATTTTAGGATTTCTATTCAAATTAGATATGTAGATCTATAGATGGTTTTTCTGCATCTAGATATTGCGTACCTCGTACGTATTTTATGTTTGTTATTTCTTATAGATAAGAAGATTAGACCTTTTGTATTGATATGGAGCTGTGTTTTTTGTTTGGAGACCTCTAAGCTCTTATTGTTGGATTTCGTCGAACTTTATTTAAGAAAAAAGTTGGCTAATTCAGTTGTTTGGGATGAGAGATGTGATGTTGTTTTAAGATCTCTCCAATGGTTGAGAGGATGGTGCTTCACATGTCCTATGGACATAAATCTAGGTAAGATTTCTAATATGAAATCATGATTAACACTTGTTGATTAGAAGCCTCTTTGACAACTATAAATTGAGCAAGTTTAAAACATAATCCTCTTTGACATATACTTCAACCATTTTTATGTAGTATCCTAACTCTCCTTTAGGCAAACATGTTAGTAGTCTAA